TTACCCAGGCTCGAGTGCAATGGCGCGATCTCGGCTCACCGCAACCTCCGCCTCCTGGGTTCAGGCAATTCTCCTGCCTCAGCCTCCCGAGTAGCTGGGACTACAGGCGTGCGCCACCATGCCCAGCTAATTTTTGTATTTTTAGTAGAGACGGGGTTTCACCGTGTTGACCAGGATGGTCTCGATCTCTTGACCTCGTGATCCACCCGTCTCGGCCTCCCAAAGTGCTGGGATTACAAGCGTGAGCCACCGCGCCCGGCCCAGACGATTCTTAAAGCTCGCCTTACGTGACTTCCTTTCACTCAAAATGGTTAAGGGAAAAAACTCAATCTCAAGAGGTCATTTTTTAGAAAAATATCTATTAGATGGCTGGCTGGAACCAAGATGTGGGGAATAAGGAAGAAAACAGTTCCTAGTCTGGTTGGGAAGGCAAGACTCACACATACTGAAAGAATTACAGACTATGACTAGAGGGCATATCGTTAAGTGCTAAATTGCAAGGCATGGACTTCAAATCCTAAAGGAATTCAGAGAAGACAGACCTACAGGAAACTCCTCCTTCAGGGGCTTGAGGTGGGGAGTGGGGTTGGCAGGGTGGTGGACAAAGACCTGCTCTTAGAAGTAACTGGATTAAAAATAGGAGGCACGTGTGCATTTACACCAGCTGCAGGGGATGGATGAGGAGGTGGGGCGGGGGTGGAGGATAACTAGGCAATTACATAGTAGCAGGCAGGGCACCGGAATCATTTTGCCACCAGTTAAGCTGTGTCAAGGTAGGAAAAGCAAAATATGTTTTCTGTTAGTGTGATTTTTTTTTTGCAGCCTTGAGAGGGATTTCTGTATACAGAACAGATTCAGGAGTTGTTTTTATCTTATGGATTTTAAAAATTAGTATTAGACGTATTGAAGTTACAATTCACATTCCTGTTTTTCTCTGAAGAATTACAGTTCATCTTACAAATCTGATTCTACGTAAGCACATTTTAAACAATTATTTCATGGGAAACTTACAAATGACAATGTTTTGAACTGCATTCAGAAATTTTGGATGTTCCATTCTTTTTAGACTTTAATTGTCTAACTTTTGAAACTTTAATTAAAAGTATCAATATAGAGGCCAGGCACAGTGGCTCATGCCTGTAATCCTAGCACTTTGGGAGGGTGAGGTAGGAGGATCACTTTAGCTCAAGAGTTTGAGACCAGCCTAGGGAACATAGTGAGACTGCCATCTTTATTTTAAAAAACTAAAAGATGTCAATAAGGTTAGTTCTTAATGATTCTCATGATCCTACACTTTAACACAAATCTAAACCTCTTAAGTACCTTTTTAATATTGAAGCACAAGGATGTTTTTCTCTGTTTTTTTTTTTCTTTTTTTTTTGTGGTGGGGGAGACAATCTTGCTCTGTCACCCAGGCTGGAGTGCAATGGCACAATCTCAGCTCACTGCAACTCTGACTCCCAAGTCCAAGCGATTCTCATGCTTCAGCCACCCGAGTAGTTGGGATTACAGGTGTGCACCACCAGGCCCAGGTAATTTTTGTATTTTTAGTAGAGACAGCGTTTCATCATGTTGGCAAGGCATGAACTCCTGACCTCAAGTGATCCACCGGCCTTGGCCTCTCAAAGTGCTGGGATCACAGGCAAGAACCACTGTGCCTGGTTCTCTAATGGGCAGTATTTTCTATTTTAAATATCAGTATATTTGAAGAACAGATGTACACAGAAAGGTCTTTAACAAAAAGTAACTTACTATTGTTTTTTCGCATAGTTCTCATTTAAATTTACAACACACCCACTGATAAAACAATGATGTCTTCCTAGATAACATCTGAGTTGCCTTCCCAAGCTACTTTTGGAGGATACTTTTCACTGGCTGCTTTTGCACACTGACCAGGATCAGGAGCAACAGACAGCTGGGTGGATTTCTCTCGAGACCTCGTGCCATGGCTGCTAGTCAATGAGAACCAGAAGGATGGGTCTCAGAAGCATATCTTGAGTTCTTGATCTTTTTTTTTTTTTTTTTGACAGAGTCTCACTCTGTCACCAGGCTGGAGTGCAGTGGCGTAATGTCAGCTCACTGCAGCCTCCGCCTCCTGGGTTCAAGCGATTCTCCTGCCTCAGCCTCCCAAGTAGCTGGGACTATATGTGAATGCTACTACGCCCAGCTAATTTTTGTGTTTTTAGTAGAGACGGGGTTCCACTATGTTGGACAGGCTGATCTAGATCTTTTGACCTCGTGATCCACCTGCCTCAGCCTTCCAAAGTGCTGGGATAACAAGCGTGAGCCACCGCACCTGGCCTGAGCTCTCAATCTTGATCTAGTCTGAATACTGATTGAAATTCCCTTCCTTCCTTCAAGCCTAGGTTGGAGTTTGTTTCTTTGGTTCTGAACTCGTCACCAAGACTTTGTAGTCACAGTCCTAAAGCTGAGCTGAGGACAGAGCTCTCCTGACTTCTGTTAATATGCTATTAAGTGGGGTGGCATTACTCAGCCTACATACGTCTCAGCTTATTTCAGAACAAACGTTAATATATTAGAATGTGTCTAATCACAATTCATTATGTCCCCCCACACCTCTACAACAAACCATAGGACATACCATTTCTTTGTTAATGGCACATCTATATGCTCAAGCCAGAAACTGTCAAGTCTTCTGTGACTCTATCCTTTCTCCCACTTAATACATCCAATGACAAATGCCTGACAACTATATGTCCACTTTTCTCTCTTCTCCATCTGTCGATGGAGACCAGAACCTCATCAGGTCTTCATGAGGAGACTAACCATGGCTGGGCCTCCTAGTCTCCCCTGTCCTCATCTTCCACTCCGTGGAAATGACCATGGGCAAACAGTGCTCTGATGGTACAGACCACTGGGCTTGAAAACCTGGATGGTCTCCTACCATCTATAGGGCCACCTCTAGGATCTGTAAGGTTGTTCAAAGCTTTACTTCCTGTTTCATTCTCACCCAGAATCTGTTGCTTTTGTTCCCTAACACCATGCTCAGGCACACTGTGTACTTTCACCCACACAATTCCTTCTGAATAAGTAGCTTTCTGACTACTCAGATGCCATTCCCCATTGTAGAGTCATTTCCAATGTCATCTGTACCGGTCAAGCCTTTCCTGACCAACTGTCAGAGAAAAAAAAAAAGATCCTAAAGGTGTTTTCACTGCATTTGGTATACGCTTTGATCACATTATACTATAGTTAATTATAAGTTTATTTCTCCTAAACTGGTTATGAGCATAGGGTCAGGAGTGATTTTATTCTTTATCAACATGATACTTGGAATATAATTTATTTAATGTGCTGCCCTGTTCCATAAAGTATAAGGCTATTTCTTTTGCCTGCCCTCCACAAATCCTCCCAACTCCCAGTCACTTTAGAAGGTAAGATTTACGAGGGACCTTTGCTTTGTTCAGGGACACAGCTAGAACAGAGTACATAGCAGACAATCAGTATTTGCAGAAGAGAAGGAAAGAATAAGAAGGTTGAAAGCAAGCAAACTCTTTTAGAACAAAGAGGACACTTACCAAGGGAAGTCTTATTAAACATCGGTTACTTTTAAAAACTCTTACTACCCTGGCCACATTGGGATCAGGAGGAAAGTCGAAAGACGTCACGGAGTCTACAGCCGCTGAGCTCGGGTGTGGTCCTACAACGAGCTACATATCCTATGTAATGGGCGCTCCGGCCTCCTCCTGTCTAGCATATTCTTGGGGCATCCCAACCTGAGGATGGTGCTTGAGGATTAGACAGACATGAGCTCTCAAAACCCTCCAGAGCTGTAGAGTGTGGGGCAGCCCTGTCAAACCAGTGAGGGCTGCTGTGGGGTCATAGTGGGCAGAGGGAGGGAGGGAGATCAAGAGAGAACCCTTTGGGGAATGCTTATTTTAAACAAAAAGTTGTCAAACTGGAAAAAGAAAACAGAGAGGGGAACCAGAGGTAGCTCTGAAAAAGGATGGCTAAGTGATTCATGGGACACCCCAAATGTCATTACCACAAGTTCCAAAGTCAGAAATTTCAGGTTAAATGGCATTATCTAAAATATTTAAAAAGTTGGATCAGCTTCAAGTGTAGATATTAAGAATATGACCAGCTAAAAAGCTGCCCCTTGCCCTTCCCAGAGAACATGCCTTCTCAAGGAGGAAGGACGTCTCCCAAGCTAGAGACAGGCAGTGCCATCTTGGCTGGAATTTGTCTCTTGTGAAACTCCCCTCAGGGGCTACGCGCCAAACCCATTCCTCGGTCCTGGCCCCAAGACCCAGTTGCCTTTATCCTTCTCCCCCCGCAGCGTCAGAAGTTTGGTACACAAAAGAGTCTGTTAAAGTTGGAGGCGGGCCAGGATTAGATGAGTTGCATTACATTTCCCAGAAACAGATTCTTAATGTAATAACCAAAGAATTTCACACAATGGCCTCAATGTGATAAATGGACTGCCAGATTTAATTTCAAAGCCTGTTCGGATGGAAGCCTTTCTTACCCTAACCTTTCCTGCGGACCAACTGTGTAATGGTGGGCAAGTCAGTTCATCACTCCAGACTCCGACTTTCACATCTGCTAATGGGAAGGACACTGCCTGCCACGCCTGCTTCACAGGGATGCCGTGAGCCACCGATTCTCAACCTTTGCCATACAAATCTAGTTATCCCGGTTTCATTCCAAACCAATTAGATAAGAAACTTCGGAACTGGAACCCAAGATTTAGTAGTCACATAGCTTCCCAGATTATTCAAATAAACAGCTAAAGTAGGAACCCCTGCACTATACCAGTATACAGTACAAAGAAGAGGGTAGTAATGACCCAGATCATCACTGGAACATGGCTTCATATGACTTGGAGATTGAAAAAGTTGTGCTTTAGGAACAAAAACCACATTTCTTTTGCATTTCCCATTATTACCTGCAAGCTTTAGGCATTCAGTAAGATTTCTGATGTCAAATGTCAATTTGAGATGCTTACAAATCTTAGATTCTTTGTTTACTACAACTACCTTTGGAGAGGTCACCTCCATGACCGTCAGCCCAGACTACAGCAAAGCCCAAAGGTCAGCTTCAGAGAAACAAACAAGAAATGTGAGAAAGGTGGCTTCACTTAAAAAGAGAGAAATTGCGGTTTTCTACCAGGGAGGTAACTGCCTGTCTTTGTCTGGCCAAGAGCCAGTCACAGTGCAGGAGCCGGGATGAAAGCCAGAGACAAACACTGCTTGGGGCTACTTTTTCAGAGATGGGTTAAAAGCAATGCTTGTGTGCTCTGGCTGGCCTTTCGCTCAGGATCCACACCTTTTCCTGGAGAATTTTATCACACAGGCCTTTAGATTGTAGGCTTATAAGGCATCTGCATTAGTCTTTAAGACAACTCTTCTCTGACTCAGGTATTACAAAGCCAGACCTAAGCCATGCTTATCACAGCCCTCCACCTCTGAAAATCCTGTTTGATTTATTACCACTGGAGGCTGAAAGGACAAGACACAGTGCCTGAACTAACCAAGCCAGTATGAGACTTTCGTGTCATGCAGAATTAATCAAATTCCATACATTGGTGGGTCATGCCACTCGCCTCAAAGTAAGATTTGAGGACAAAGTAGATGTAGAATCCATTTAATATTTCAAAGTAATTTAAAACTTGGAAAATCTAAGAGAGAGAATCAATTTTGAACTATACTTGATTATGTATGAGGTAAATGTCCCCCATAACTATGGATTAATTTTCTATGTTAATTTTGGGGTGGTTTCCGTGCATTTTAAAGATGTAAAATTTGAGCTGAATGCAGTGGTTCATGCCTGTAATCCCAGCTACTTGGGAGGCTGAGGCAGAAGCGTCACTTGAGGTAAGGAAACTGAGAAACTTCAGGAGACCCACTGCTATTGAAAAAAAGTTTAATGAATGTTTTCTATAGAATCTAGTTATTTAAAAAAGAAAAACGTAAGATGTAAAAGATGTAAAATTTAGAGTAGCCAACTAATCTTACTCCCTTAAGTCTGCAACCTACATCTAACATGTGTCCTTGGAGAAGTTTTTTTTTTTTGAGACAGAGTCTAACTTTATCACCCAGGCTGGAGTGCAGTGGCATGACCTCAGCTCACTGCAACCTCCACCTCTCAGGTTCAAGCAATTCTCCTGCTTCAGCCACCTGAGTAGCTGGGACTACAGATGTGTGCCACCACGCCTAGCTAATTTTTCAGTAAAGATGGGGTTTTGCCAGGTGGTCCAGGCTGGTCTCAAACTCCTGACCTCAAATGATCCGCCCACCCCAGCCTCCCAAAGGGCTGGGATAATAGGCATGAGCCACCACACTTGGCCTGGAAAAATTTCTTTGCAGCTAAACCTTGAGGGCCATTAAAAAATATCTGTGTCTCTACTTAGGATAAAAGAAAGTGCTCAGAACGTATAATGTACATCTGTAAGCTACCCACATGTTTTTTATAGCTATAATTATTGGAGACTGAGAAACTTAACTATATTTTACATATACTGATGGAGAGACAATATCTGCTACCCCAGGTATTGGATTTCAACGGTTTAGGACTGCTAAGTGTTCATAGTTACAAATCATCTAATAAGGCTTTCAGTTTTTGTTTTTTTTTTGTCAGTTAAAAATTAACTTTTTCTCATTTAATATGAGGTTAAAGGAAAACAGAAAGTCACCTGAGGATGTGAACACATATTTAGCCTCAACGTATCTGTTTACTTCACAAGCATAAATAATTTAATCATATTAAAAATGATCACACCATTGTATATTACATGTTTACTTGAATTCTAAAATAAAGCTTAAAAATGTTTTATTATCAATCTCTAATTACTTGGACTATCATGTGAGGAGTGGTGTGAAATATTTTTTTCCAATTTGAAAGCCAGGAGTATTGTGGGGTTTTTTTGTTTGTTTTGAGATGGAGTCTTGCTCTGTTGCCAAGCTGGAGTGCAGTGGTGGGATCTCAGCTCACTGCAACCTCCGCTGCCCAGGTTCAAGCTATTCCCCTGCCTCAGCCTCCCAAGCAGCTGGGACTACAGGTGTGAGCCACCACACTGGGCTAATTTTTTTGATTTTAGTAGAGATAGGGTTTCACCATGTTAGCCAGGATGTTCTCAATCTTCTGACCTCGTGATCTGCCTGCCTTGGCCTCCCAAAGTGTTTGGATTACAGATGTGAGCCACCACGCCCAGCCAGGTGTTTTCATTTACTTATTTTTTTAGTGATGGATTTTTGCTGATATTGCCCAGGCTGGAGCACAGCGGCTGTTCACAGGCACAGTCACGGCACACTACAACCTTGCGCCCATAAGCTCAAGCAGTTGTCCGGTCTCAGCCTCCCCAGGCAGCTAGGACTACAGGTGCACGCCACTGTGCCCAGCAGAAAGCAGGTTGTTTTAAACCTACATGTTAAATAATACTTCCTTCCTCATTGGTTTGTAATATCATATCTGCTTTATTATATAAAGTATCAGATGTAAAATTCTTTCTATGATTTTTTCAGTTCCATTTAACTGTACTTATTTCAGCCAACACAGACTTAATATTAAAAAGTGATCTTAGTGTTTTGTTCTTACCTGGTCAGACTGGTCACATCTCATTATTGTTTGGAGTTTTCTTCCAAATTCCCATTGGCTTATGGTTGAAGTGAGTTTTAGATGTGTTTGAAATCCAATGATTTTTTTTTAACTCCTCTTGTTTTGATGAGGTAAACGGATCTTAAACTATTCCAGCTGAATTTATATGTAACTTCATTTACGATGAAACTGTTTTTATGAACTCCTAGTGGTCCACATCAT